CAGCACTCAAGTGATGAGCTAACAAAATGCAATTTAAAAAGCAATATACTGACATGGAAACGTCGTATGAGCTTCTGAACAGCACACAGCTCCAAAGTTTACCACAAGATTTTGAAATGCTTTGCCAAACATATACTGGACTGAAAGACCTGCCAGCTCTATCCTACAACCATTGAACACACTACACAACTAAGAAAGTCATTCTCTGGTCCACCACCAAAAAAAAAAAAAAGTTAGAAATATACTTTTAGAGAGCTTCCAATATTTTTGGTTCATTTTGGCCCATGAAAATAACTGTGATATTATCAGCTTTACTTTTTGCTTCATACCTTTGTTAGTTATCCCCTGCCTTTATGAAGGGCAGTCACATAAGTCTATCAACTTGTATTTATTGAGAACCTAAGAAGTACAAATAGTTTGGCTCAAATTGTTGAGAGTTAGATCTTAACTCATAATCTCAGAATCTGGCCAGCTCTATGAATACTATATTTTTCCTCCTTTCCTGTTTCCCTTCTTCCTTCCCATCCATCCATTCATCCACCCACCCATCTATGTATCCAATCCAGCCATGAATCTGTCCCATTCACTACGAAATCATTCATTTGTCTCTCTGTTTTTCCAACAAGTATTAGTGACTTCCCTAAAATGTACAAAGCATTAGGCAGAATGCCAGAGATACAATGCTGAACAATATAGAGTTACTAACATCATGGAGTTATAGTCTATTTGGGAAGGTATACAGTTAAGGAAGAAGTACTAATCCAATTTTGCTAAGTGCTAGGCTAAAGAAAGAACAACGTGCTAGAAAGGAGAAATAGAGACAAAAGGTTATAAAGGTTCTTAAAAGAAATAACATTGATCATAGAGTCTTAAAAATAAGTATTAGTCAGAAAAAAAGATTGAAGAGTTGGGGACCAGAGGGAACAACATAATTAAATATCCTGGAGAAGGGAGGATATGAAAATTTTCAAAAAAAAAAGAATGTCTACTGTGTAGAAAAAAAAGAAGAGAGAGAGATGGCCAAAGACTGGAAGTACGGATGTTGTTTCTCAGAATCATCTTTTGCCCTGGATCCTTATCTTAGGATCATATATAGTTTTAACAAACACTGGACAGGGAACTCTAACAATATACCTACAAGTAGTAAGGAACACTATCAGTATTATACCGTCATTCTTAATACAGGCTTCTTCTTATCATCCAGTGAATCCTCAATTTCTATCCATCTCCCCCACCAGGAAATTTTGAATGGTTTTTAAAATGATATTGCTGTTGTGACTGTTAGGTGCCATTGAGTTGGTTCCAACTCATAGCAAACAAAACAGTGCTGCATTCTGCATCATCCTCAAAACTATGGCCCGTTCAAGCCCGTTTTGGCAGCCACTGTGAGGGTCTTCATCTTTTCTGCTGATCCTCTAGCAAGCGTGATGTTCTTCTTCAGGAACTGATCCTTCCTGATTACATGTCCAAAGTACATGAGACAAAGACTTGCTATCCTCACATCTAAGGAGCATTCAAGTAATACTTATTCCAAAAAAGTTGTCTTCGTCCTTCTGACAGTCTGTGGTATATTCAATATTCTTTATTAATGCCATTATCCGACTGCATCAGTTCTTTGTCAGTCATTGTCCAGATTTTGCCTGTACATTAGATGATTGAAAACGCCAGAGCTTGGATCTGACAAACATTTGTCCTAGAAGTGACATATTTGGTTTTTAACACTGTAAAGAGGCCTTTTGTAGCAGATTTGTACAATACAGTGAGCAGTTTGATTTCCAGAATGCTGTTTCATGAACATTGATTAGGGGTCCAAGTAAAATGAGAGGTCAAGTCTTATAACGACATCTGCATTTGCCTTTTAGATTTCCTTTATGAGACATTATAATGAGGAAAAAGAACATAGAAGTAATGAAGACTTTTAAGGTCAACAGATAAAGGAGGAATACGATGACAAAATAGCCTTGATTTTTAAGTGGTAGTTATCCATTATACTGTTTGAAAAATGGACCTCAAAACTATAAGTGTTCATTAGTTTATTATAAAAACCATAAAATGTTTTCATAGAAAGCACTGAAATATTTAACTATGAAATGCATAGATTACTCCAACACTTGTTTACACTCAGACACATGTTTATTCACATCAGTACGAGCATCTAGTTCTCTCTTAGCAGGCAGTTACTGGAGCAGTAATAATTAGCTTTTATCCTTGTGGGTTAAGTAGAACAATAATATCTACTCAAGTTCACCTCTAGAGACAAAGGCAATTTTGGAGTTCATCTCTTTTTCTTATTGGATTCTATTAAAATGAAAATAGAATAAAGTTCTCTTCAAACCAGTTTTATATATCCCAAACTTCCAATTTAGCATTTTCTTTCATTTCAGTCCTAAATATTTTGCTCCATCACAGTAAGTCCCTATGGATTTACTGCTAAATTCCTACATCGGAGGCATCCTACATTTCAGGGAAAAATCATTTTAATGTTTGTTATCTGGCACAAATATTTTATCCTAATAAATCATAAATCATCTCTCCTACCCTTGATTATTTTCTCAATCCACTCCTGGCTTCTCTTCTCACTTTGGCATGAGAGATTCTAGCTGCAGCCAAACTCTTGGGTTGAGATGGGAGTGTTAACTTAAACAGCTGGGAGGGAGCAATGCACAACTGCTCAGCGAGCCAACCCTTAACTGCTTGCTCTCTCCCCACCCAAATTCTGGGATGTTGCTCCACCCAAACCCACCCAGCCTGATCGAATTAACCCTTCCACACTCCATTATATGGTAAAACCTACTGTAACCTGGTCTTGGTTTTATCTGTAGAGCTTTCCTACAGGAAACTGTGAAATAATGAAATGGCATGCTTCATCCAGCCAACTCGGACACTGACTGGACAGTCACTCAACATGCTTACAAGAGAAGGGTGGTTCCTGTGGAGAAATATTTCTTAAAATAACCTTGTTGCCAAGGATGAGGCTAAATATCTGACAGAGCAAAGCTCCCTAAATACCAATGATGAGACGACTTAACATTGTTCCAATGTACATCTCAGTTGCTCTTCATCGCAGTGACATGATATTACTCCACATGAAGAAATTGATGTCCAAGCATTAACTGGCTTGTCCAAAGTGACACAGTCATGAAGTGGCAGAGTTGCGGCTAGAAGCCAGGCTTTTCTAAACCTCATGTGTCACATACTTCAGGAGAGTAAAAGCTTAGACAATCTCAAAGAACTTTGGGGACAATCTGCGACAGAATCACTGAAGGTGCCTATCCCTGGAACATAGTCCAGAGCTTCTGAGGGGGCCCTACACTGTTCATTCCAATAACCTCCCTAAATAATTCTTATTTACACTAGCACTTGAGAACTGTTACCCTAAGTCTTTTCTTCTAATGCTAGACTTTGGAGACTTAGCCAACTTTTCCTGAGAAACATTTCTGGGATTTTTAAAGTTCCTTGAGTTCCTTTTTATGAACAATCCCTTGTCTGATCTTCTCTGTCTCACATTTTTTGTTTAATGGAACAAACATTTACTATCTACTGCCAACATTCGACCAGTTGTTGCTGACTCAACTCCGACTCATGGTAACCCCATGCGTGTCAGAGCAGAACTGTGTTCCAAAGGATTTTCAAGAAAAGACCACCAAGCATTTCTTCTGAGGCTCTTCTATGTGGACTTGGTTAGCAGCCAAGCACAGTAACAGTTTGTACCAGCCGATATGCACAGTGTTGTTGCGGTGTCCCACTGAGTCTGTTCTAACTCCCAGTGATCCTAAAGGACAGGTAAGAACTGCCCCAGAGGGTTTCTTAGGTTGCAATCCTAGATTGCCAGGTCTTTTCACCTGAAAATCTACTCATAATTTTGAACCACTGACCTTTTAGTTAGCAGGTAAGGATGTACCCACTGCACCCGCAAATCCAAAGCCAAATTAAACGTAGTGCCACAGAGTTCATTCTGACTTATAGCAACCTTACAGGGACAGAGTAAAACAACAAACACTCTAGGGTGCCCAAGGCTATAAATCATTTGGAAGCAGACTGCCTCATCTCTCTCCCACAGAGGGGCTGCTGGGTGTGAACCACAAACCTTTCAGTTAGCAACCCCATGTTGAACCCACTGTCCCACCAGGGTTCACTGACTGCATGAAGTGTTACTATATAGTAGGCACCCCCATTAATTGGTTAAAGTTTTACCTCAAACTGATGTATTAGAGAATGCTATTATGATGCCCACCTTATAGATGAAGAAAGTGAGGAAGAGCAGCAAAAGAGCTTGCCTCAAATCACACACAAGAGATCTAGCCAAGCTATGTTGCTCTCAGATCCATGTGATAACTGATAAAAGATTAAGCTAGACACACAGCGCCAAAGGACAGTAATTACAATTGCATGAGAAGAGCTGGGAGGGCCATGCCCACAGGCATATCAGATTCAAACTTCAGGGAACAGCTTGTTGTTGTTAAGAGCTGTCAAGTCAGTTCCCACTCACACAACCCTGTATAGGGTTTCCGAGGAGCTTAGAGATCCTCAAAGATCTGCTCTTATTCCACACTGCCTGTGCCTTCACAGACTCTGTACATGTGCTCTATGTGTCCCCCCTCCCTCTTCACACGGCTCATTGCCTCCAGATACCCTCATCTTTATCCCAGCTCCTTGGTACAGAGGAGACTGGACAGCCTCTGGGGGCAGATGTCAAGTCTAATTCACTTTATTACCCCAGGAGTCTATCGGTGAGCAGGAGTTCCATAGAAGTTTCTGCAACTAATAAATGGTTGAATATATAGTGGTGGCGTTGGTCGTGTGCTGTGGAGTTGCTTCCAAGTCATAGCAAGCCTGTTTCTGAGGCTGTATGTCTTTACCAGAGCAGAAAGCCTCACTTTTTTTCCCAAAGAGCCACTGGTAGCTTCAAATACATAGTAAGAAATGGTTATTCAGCATTAAAAGGATTTATCAAAGTTTTCTACACCTGTGTCAATTTACACCCCTTAATTTCCTGACAGAAAGTCTGGAGGGCAGAAAGGTAAAACCATTGCCAATTGGAGATCAATCCAAATTTCAGTTAAAGCACCCCAAAATTATGATGTAAGCCTTGGGAGACATTGGGTGGGCTCTATAAATAGGTGAATGAAGCAAAGGTTGGCAGAGATGGTCCTGATGCACAGTGGATGGTGCACCTAAGGGTGTGCTGGGCTCGGTGCTGTAAATGTGTAAGCAGATGGGGTACGTGAAGCTTGGTGTAGGAATTCAGTCCTTTGGTCTCTACTCTGCAGCTGGCAGCAGCAGCAAGACATTCTGAGAGCTCTGCTCTCCTAGCTACCAGAGGATCGGGTTTCTCTGCATCTCAATGACCTCTGAAGCCATCTGAGGAAAAACACATTTTTCTAGAACCAGAGGAACTCAAGGAACAAGGAGGAAAGAATGAAGCTGCAGTATTATTGGCATTTTACCTAGCTGGTTTTCTCTCCTTGGCCTAGTAAATCAAACAGAATAGTATCAAGATGTTCTATAGTCTCATATATCTAGAAAGCCACCCAGTTGTAGTTAAAGTCCTCAAACAAACAAAGTAGTTCCCAACACACAGAATATTAACTTCCCCCATCCTGTATGGTTCTCTAAATTCCTGAGACTATATGCATGTTAAAGAGAATCACTGGCATTTTTCTTTCTTTAAAAATGATTTGGAGTATTCTGTCACATCAAAGAAATTATATCAAAGAAAGAGAAAATTGACTTTGTGATTAGAAACAGACCATATTAATTTTTCCTTCTAAACAATACCTTACAAGGAAAACTGGCTAATGCACTCATGCTAATCCAGTGATGGCGAGCTCAGACTACCACATATATAAACAATGGGTTTCAGAGAATACAGACTAAATTGTGACTCACAGTTATATTTTATGGTGGAAAATATGTCTATAAAGCTTTTGGCCTGGTCATTTAAGGAAAATGCCCTTAAGCTTCTGGGTTCATACGAGGCATGCAGTTTCATGTGAAACAAGGAATCCTGTGAGATCATATTTTATGAAACAAAAGCCAGTCACTGTCTGGTCAGAAGCTACGGGCTATGTGGTTATGGTCACAGATTTAACTGACAGTCGTTGTTGTTAAGAACCGTGGAGTCGGTTCCTATTGACAGTAACATGGACCAATTATCTTTGCTGTGCACAATGATCAAAGAATACACCATTATTTCATTTCAAAATGGACTTTTATGGGTCAAGGACTCAGAGATCATAGAACCAGGATCAAAGAGAAGCATCTCCCAAACAAGACCAATCTATAGAGTGTGTTCCTCAATGAGAAGAATTCATCACCCATATTAATAGCCTTTTCTCTCTTTTAAATTACTCATTTTTCCCCTTTCATTCACTCCATGCTCAGGAAATGTGTTGTGAGAAATGATCTAAGCCAGCATGAGCTTTCGTCAATATCAGGTGCTTTCTGTAGGTCTTTTCCCACAATCTCACGACCAAAGTCTGTCACACATGCAAACCTCTATTTGGAAGCAACACAAATACAGTTATATACAGTCACTTCTGACAGACCCATGAGGTCTTTCTGTTCTTCTCAGCGTTTGTTCCTACATCAGGAACCTAGCTTTCAATAATGGATTCTTAGATCTGCCAATGAAAGCATAAGCAATACAAGACTAAATAGATAATGGAACCCATCAAAATGAAGTTTTTGTTCATCAAAGAACTTTATCAACAGAGAGACAACCTACAGACTCTGAGAAATTTTTTGCAAAACACATATCAGGTAAGAGTTTAATGCTGAAAGTATATAAGTAACTCCTATAACATAACAAAAAGAGAACAAGCCAATAAAAAATTGGACAAAGGACTTATTGAATAAACATTTTATAAAAGGAGACATACAAGTGGACAGCAAGCACATGAAAAATCATCCAATAGTGTTAGACATTACGGAAACGCACGTCAAAACCATGAATTTTCACTTCACACCACTAAGATGGCTATGATTTAAAAATGGACAACAACAGGTATTGGTGAGGATCTGGACGAATTGGAAGGCTCATTCCTAACACAGTTATAAAATAGTACCACCACTGGGAAAAAGGGAAAAACAGTTTGGAATTTCCTTATAAAGTTCATCACAGAGGTGCTATATGATTCAGCAACTCCCCTTCGAGGCAGGAAGGCAAACAGATAGAGACTTGTATATTTACGTTCATGGTACCACTTTTCATAAAAGCCAAAATGTGGAGACAATCTAAATGACCATGAATGAACAGACAAAATATGATCCATATGAAGAGGCTTCAAAAATTCATAGAACAATTCCTTTATCTTTTCATTCCATTTTCCCACAAACCATTTGGAGTCACCTCATATGTAGTCTATAGAGTCCTGGTTTGGCACTGGACCCTGTCATATATATTCTATGGAGTCCCGTAGGATATGTACTGGACTGTTAACTGCAAGGTTGGCAGTTCAAACCTACCAGCCGCTCCTCGGAAACCCTTTACAGGATTGCTATGAGTAGGCACCGACTCAACAGCTCTTAACAATGCCATATGTACTATGCATTCAGTGAAGAGAAATGAAGTCTTAATACTCGTTGCAACATGGATGAACCTTGAAAATGACATGCTGAGTAGAATAAGTCAGCCACAAAGGATATAAACTGTGTGACTCACAATTATGGGAAAGATTTACAACAGGCAAGTGTATGCAAATCTCAGTTTATCAGTGGTCACCAGGAATGGGCAGGAAAGAGAGAGGAAAAGGGGCTCACTGCTTAGGAATCATTGAGAATTGAGAGTGGTGGAAAAGTTTGGAAGTAGCTAAGAAGAATGCTTGAAAAACACAACATGTGAAAAATGTTGATGTGGCAAATGTTTTGTTACAGATATAATTATCACAATTTAATAAGAAGTTCACTGGAGACAGATGTGATGACAGATAGTCTAGCATTCAACTAGCTTTTTGGTTCATATTGGACAGTTTTGTGCACAGACTGCCCACAACTGCCAACAGGGTTATGTCCTAATGGTGACTGGGTCCTCCTGACTTGCATCACCAGATTCTGACATTGTGCTCATGCAGGGGTACAGATAGAATCCAGATATCTTAAGCTCCATCCATTTCACTAATGAAAGTACCATCAAAATCCTCCTTGCTGATCAGATATAAAGATATTTAAGACTTTTATGGTAACCACCTTATGAGTCATTGGAATGTTAGCTAAACAACCTGGATTGAATATCCTCAATTTTTGCTTCAGACACAGGTCTGCTATCATTGTTGTTACTGTTGTTGTTAAGTGCTGTCAAGTAGATTCTGACACATAGCAACCCTGGATAGGATTTCTGAGGAGCGACTAGTGAGTTTGAACCACCAACCTTGTGGTTAGCAGTCTAGTACTTATCCTACAACACCACATCTGGACTACTTACTGTCATTACGATGTATATTAATTCACACAGAATACTCATATGTACCCAAGCAGTGTCTATTCTGAAGAATTTAAAAGTAAATTATATATGATAGAAGTGGAATCTCCATTTTATTTTATGAAAAAAACTTGATCACAGAATCAATTTCCTTTTATTTTACTTACTAATTTTTATTGTGATTTGGATGGAAGTTTTCCATTCAACAATTCATACACACTTTGTTTTGTAACACTGGCTGCAATCCTCAAAATGCAATTTCACTTTCCTCACTTCCTCCCCAGGTTTGTGTTTCCATTTGTCCTTCTTTCCAATCCCTTCCTTCTTTACGAGCTTTACCTCTGGCAAATGCTTCTCTTTTGATCTCATAGCGTTGACAGTTCTAAGAAACGCATACCTCTCAGGTGGTACTGTTCACCTTATAGGCCTAGCATTTGGCTGAAAATTGAAACAGATGTCAAGTTCAATTTCAGACCTGAAGGCTGCCTAGCGGTCATAGTTTCTGGGGTCCTACCAGTCTCTATCAGACCAGTAAAGTCTGGTCTTTTATTATTATGGTTATTTGAGTTTTGTTCCACATCTTTCCCAGTATATCAATGACCTCCTATTGTGATCCGTTGCATAATCAGCAATGGTAGTCTGACACCATCTAGCTATTCTAGTCTCAGGTTCATGGTGGCTGAAGTTCACATTGTCCTTTACTTCTCTGGACTAATAGTTTACATTCGTCTTTGGTTTTCTCCATTCTTTGGATCAGGAGAGACAAATAGTTGCACTGCAAATGATTGCTTACAAGCTTTTAAGACCCCACTCACTATACACTAAAATAGGATGTAGACCATTGTCTTTGTGGACTATGTTGTTCTCCAAGACCAAGGTCCTGAACTCTCAGTCCCACTGACTCATTCCTTAAAAAATTTCATAACTTTGTCCCCTAATGTTGTTGTAGTTGTTAGATAATATTAAGTTGGTTCCAGCTCACAGTGATCCCATGCACAACAGAACAAAACACTGACTGGTCCTACACCAACCTCATAATTGTTGTGATGTTTGAGTCCACTGTTTCTGAAACTGGGTCAGTACATCTCATTGAGGCTAATCCCTCTTTTTGCTTCCCCTCCATTTTACCAAGCATGGTGTCCTTCTCCAGGACTGGTCCCTCTTGATTAATATGTCTTAAATATGAGAGATGAATCTCCCCAACCTGGCTTCTAAAGAGCATTCTGGCTGTACTTCTTCCAACATAGATATGTTTTTTCTTCTGGCAATTGATAGTACTTTTAATATTTTTCTCCAATATCATAATTTAATGCAGCTATTTTTCTCCCATCTTTCTTATTATTTGTTCAATTTTCACATGCATATGAAGCTACTGGAAATACCACAGCTTACTTAGGTCAGGTGCACCTTAGTCCTCAAACTGATATCTTTGCTTTTGAATACTTTTAAAGTGGTCTTTTGAAATAGATTTGTCTAATGCAATACATTATTTGGTTTATTGACTGCTGCTTCCAAACATACTTTTATTGTTGTTGTTAAGTGCTGTTGAGTCAGTTCCAACTCATAGCAACACTTTATGGGGTTTACTATGAGCAACTGGTAGATTTGAACCGCTGACTTTGTGGTCTGGTGCTTCTCCTACTGTGCCACGACAGATCTCTCTATAC